ACGTACGTTGTGTCTTGCTATAGCCTGATTTTACATGTCAGATTTTTAAACTTGTTTTTCTTCCTTTAACACTAATTATTACCTTTTTTTTTTCTTTTTGTTTTTCTTTTTTAAATCAGGACTGTTGTGAAAACACATGATTTAAAATTGCTGACAATGAGCAGTAAGGGCTTTGTGGATTTTCTGTGCTAGAGGGTCCTATATAGCTTTATATGCTTATATATAGTTCAAGTTGATCAATTGTAATTGAAAAATGTGATATTCCTGTATTTTTGACTACAAGATAATTATATTTATGAGAGCTAAAGGACTGACATGGCTTTACTGTGAAGGTGGTATTCTTCTAAAACAGTCTTATGTCCAGAAGGCGCAGGCAGCCATAATGGTCTTTGACTGTAGTAGATTTGGGGAGATTGATAGAGGGTGGAGGCTTAAATGAATGTTCACTTTTTTGAAGGAATCTTATAAAACACTTTCTTGTAAAGGTAATATATTTTCTGTACTATGTAATTATGCCTATCTGAGCTAGGGTTTAGTATTATGCTTCCAGAAGTCCTACAGTTGTAGAGGCATACTGAATAGTCTGTTGGTTTTTCCTGTGAATGAGTCTAACCAATTGTGTTCAAAGAGGATCATTGATTTTTTTTTTTTTTTTTTGGGGGGGGGCATTTGACAGGAGATCTCATGTTTGAATGCTACACCAACATAAAAACTGTGTTGTATATGTTATGTATTCCCAAGATTGGAAGCAAGCAAATAAAAGCTCTTTGAAAAAATGTAGTTGTGTTAAATATTAGTCATATTTGAAATGGAATCTCGGGTACTATACTGAAAATAATCTCTTATGTTAGGATAATAGGCGTAAGGAAGATTATGTTTTTGTATTTTTGTTTTACTCTTATGGAATAATTAATTTTAAGCTCATTTAAAGGGCATGATGCAGTGCCATGAAGCAATAGCTGGACAAGCTCTCAACAAGGTAACATGGGTACTAGGTGCAGCATATTAGTTCTTCTGCGAAGCTGGGTATGTTTTCTACATGACACAGTATGCTAATACAGCACAAAATCTGTTTCTATTCTTCCATCTTTGGTTATGGCCTTTTGATGTCAGAATAAGACATGAATAATTCAGAATAATACATGACTAGATGCAATACGCAGACCTGCAGAGATCTCTAACTGCCTCCAGTCTGTTCCTTCCTCAAAAATGCTTATTTTCTTCAATATCCACATATATGAATGCAATAAATTAGCCAGATATACTATTCATATGCTGCTTCCAGACTCAGCATTGCTCTTTTGTTCTTTTTTATAGTAGAAACAAAAATTTAAACTATATGCATATGTACTTTATTGCCACTGAATTAATTCCTATGTTTTTCCTTACTGTAGGGAACCTAATAATGACATTTTTCTAACTAGGATATAGAGAAAACCTTGTTGCTATAGTACAGTTGAGTCGAAGTATTTGAAGAGTAAATCCAGCTCCTGTTCACATTAATGATTCACTGACTTCAGTAGAAGTAAAATCACGCCTTTAATCAGCAAGGAAGTGTAGTGTCAATCACAGTAGGCAAGACCCAAAGCATCAAAAGCGTGTAAATGATCAAAACCGAGTTTCTATGTTTAGCCTGCCCCACTTCACACATAATGAATAACTAGTTGGTATATGATTTAATCTTAAAATATTTTATTAAGCACAGATAATAATGCTGGAATCCATATAATAAAACAACTTCCAAGGAAAAAGCCAAGTTAAAATGAGTTATATAAATATTGCACTTAAAATTCTTATTTTACACACTTATTTTACTCACATAACTCCTTAAATTGGACAATTATAAATTAATAGCTTCCAAGTAATTGGAATTGGGTATGTTTCATATCCAATGTCTGCAAATCTTCAAGATTCAGGGTCTGCTCTCATGAGAGGTGTATCCAATGGGAACACTTTGTGGCCGGGTATACGGAGGTGGGTGAGCGAGCATGGTCTTAGTGTTTACAGTCAGATGTATTTTCATGACTTTCATGACAAATAAGTGAAAATTCTTTTTCAAGAGAGGTGATAGAAGGCAGCTGCAGAGCTTAGTTTTAACATGTTTTGTTTTTCAAGGCATTCAAGATCTTTTGGTTCTTAGTCTTGAAACTCATGACAAAGCTGTTGGGCAAGACTTTCCCTCTGCCGTCTTCTTCTACCTGGCCCATGATGATGTAGTTTAAACCTACAAAGGAGGATATGACATGACAAAACAGAAGTCCTTGGTGGGATTTGGTAAGTACAGTTCTATTTCTGTGGTCTTTATTAATTTGTACTCTGTTACCTTTTTACATCTGTTCCTTCCTACCCAACACTTCCTTTGTTCACTTCTACCATTCCTCTTTTACAAGAAGATACATTTAGCTACTTTATGTGAGTAGATATTAAGTGTCTGTATAGCTACCTAAGTATGTATTACATAGTTAAGAGTAGTAGATATTAGTAAATATTGATTGTCAAATGAGCCTGAAAAACATTAGAAATACAGAATAAACACTGGATGAATTGATTAATACCTGGAGAGGAACATGTCATATTTTCTCATGTTCTCGGATGATAAGATAATGCACTTAATATTTTCGTTCACTTTTCCTTCCTCAAAGAAAACAGCAACTGGGCAAGCTAAGGCGAAAGAGGCACCAGGTTTTTATGGGGTAGATTGGCATAGTGAGCTAGGGTGGCAGTGATGCTAGTGGACAAGTTGTTTCAGACAGACGGAGAGGCCATCAGGAAAGGCAGCGATGGGACGTGGCCTTTAATGTGTGGTTAGCTCTAGCTTTCAGGCAATTGAAAAGCAAAATTTTAGGGTCTTCCAAAGGCCTGGAGGGTTGCAAGGAATCAGGCATGAAGACAGGGTTTTGTAGGGGAGTGAAGGAAAAGAAGCAGAAAGTTTAGATATTAAGTAATGGCAAGTAAATAATTCAAGAAGCGTTAGGAAGAGAAACAGCAGTGTGGTTTGGAGCCAGCAGTCTGCCTGGAAGGGAGATAGTGGGTTCCAGTAAGGATGTTGCTATGTTTCCCAGACAGATGCCTGGTTTCCAGAGAGTAAAAGGTAAAGGTAAAGATTTCTGACAAGGACTTTTCACTTTGGTACTGCTCACTTTTAATTTGTATGCTTAAATACCAGTGGTGTCCTGCATGTTGCATTTCTTCATAGGCTTGTTGAATAATCTTGTCTGCTCTTTGCTATGGGTCTATTTCTGTTCTTGTTCTTCCTGTTGTTTAGTCAGGAGACACAGAACTGATAAGTGTGTGTATATATATATATATATATATATATTTTACCCAGTTAAATCCATGAGACCTACGCTCTTTATTTCTTACTTGGAAATTATCTTGGTTGGTCTGTTCTGTAAAATATTGCTTGAGATAGCTGTACAAGTATTAGCCGTTAGCACATACAAAGTAAGTAGTATCTCTAAGTAGAGATGTAAATGTGTATGGAATAGAAGCAACAGGAAACTCTATTGATTTTTGTCATTTGCTGTGGCCCAGTGTTCTTTGAGGCTTAGCATGCTCATGTTTTTCCTTTCTAAATAACTATGCATTAAAAACTAGCTCCAAACTACACACATGTGCAAACAAAATCTGTGCTTCATTTGAGATCTAGACTTCGTATAATGTGAGTTTTATAAAATGTCTTTCAAACTCAGTTGATCTAAGTGAGTCTAGTCGTATAGAGATGAACATTAGAAAAGCAATATGAATCTGGATAACTTTTTTTATCTTAAAGTAATTGATTAGAACATTAGTAGTTGATTATAGCAATAGTTGATTGCAATTTTACTGATTTTTTTGTTTGTTTTTGTTTTTGTAATGGTCATATTTCTAAAAGCAGTTTTCAAAACTGTTGTCTTTTACAAAGAGGCAAGGCTGATATTTTTCTGTACTTACCTCTTCTGATCAGAGGACACTGCTTACATACAACAGTAATCTTGGCACTCATACTCTTTCCTGCTTGCTGAATTGCTAAATTTCCTTCCTTATATACGTTAATGATCGATATTGTTGCATGTAGACTGCCAGCCCTGGTCATTGTTGTAATTACAGTTCCAGTTATTACTAGAAGAAAATACATTTAATACATTTTAAATATATATGCTTATGAATATGTAAAACATAGGCACATGCTTTGTTTAGTCATTGGTCTTTTAGACTGAGAAAGTATGTTTGCTTTAGACATGCATGCAATATGTATATTCTCCAAGAATGTACCGAGTGATATACAGATACTCATGTCAGATCTGCATGTAGGATATAAAAAATACTGACTATATATTAATGAAACTTAAAACAACATTTGGTGAAATTACTGTGAGTCTAAACATGCAGTCTCGAGAGACTAATTGAAAAGAAATAAACTTTGCTGCTCTTACCAAAGTTGCTTGAACAGTAATTGCTTTCCAGAGTCCCACTCCTCCTACACTTTTGCTGGCACAGGGCAACTGTAGGTTTCAAAGCTTTGTAGGTTTGAAGAGTAAAAATCGAAATAAAGTTGAAATGACATTTGTTGAAACACCTAGCTAAGCAGTATGTTTAAAAAGGAGGAAAGGAGAGAAGAAAAAAAAAACAAAAACCACCCATGCACCTGATATGTAGCTTAACTAGATCTAGTATTGCAAGGGATGAACAACAAAGGCTGACAAATTCTGCCCTCCCTCCTTTCCTGTTATCACCTTTTCTTCATAATTCTCAGCTCCATTATCTGTTCTAGTGGATTTATATATTGGGATTTTGCAGAAAAGCAAAACTGTTTTAACAACTGTTTTAACAGTTAACTGTTGACAGTTAAACTGTCAAAACAGTTAAAACAAGTGTTTTAACTGTTGTTACTTATTGGCATAGAACCTGAACAGCACTTTTGCAGTAAATCTGCTACACAGGAACATTTCAGCTAGAGGAGGGAGAACTTTGATCTGAAATTACTGCACTGAACAGTTCTGATTTGTAAGAGAATAAACTAGGTTTGTTTGAACTGGGAATCTCTGCACGGGTTCTGATTCATCAGAAGTCGAGCCTAAGTGTACTGTGGAATTTTTCATGTATGACTATACTATGTGGAGCTGATCAGTTACTGATTTATTTCTGCTGCCTAACAGGTTTTCCTTTTGAGTACTTTCCCTCTGTTGTCCTCTCTGAGATACTTTGTTGTTGTTGTTGTGGTGGTGGTTCTAATATTGATAGTGTCACAATAATCGACCTGAAATTTATTATTAAAGTACATCTCTCTTGCTTGTATATCCCGCTCCACACACACATACATGAGCAAAACGCCAGGTAAAAGCCTGAATGCAAATCTTGCAGTATGAGACGTTTGGCAACCTGGATTTAGACCAAGTTTTGGAAGTAGTAACTTTGCTAGGAAGTGCTTTATAGTGAAGAGTAGCTCTACTACATATTACTAGAGTACCAGTTGCATCAGAATGATTTATATTTCATTATGATTTTGTTTTTACAAATGCTTATTTTCATCTATGTTAAATATATTTCATGATCAGTATTTAAGTACCACAGCTCTTGTTTTCCCGCTGACAGGTCATTCTTGCTGTAACATTTGATCTGTTTTAAGTACAAATCAGGTCATGTGTTGCACAAACATCATAAATAATTTGTTTCTGTGCTTATCTGTATCTTAAATCTCTCTCGTTCAGGTTATGGAAATCATAGGATTTATCCTGTCAGTATCTCACCCAGGAAGTAATTTTTGGAAGGGCCAAAAGAGAAATTCCTTCTGATCTTTCACATAACTTGTCTGATCTTAAATATTAAACAATTTATTTTTAGTATGACACATTTCTTTATAAATTCCAGTCCTTTATATTTTTTGGCTAAATATAATTTTGAGTGTCATGTTGACACGATGTTGACAGAATCTGAAGAGGGCTCAGGTGGCTCCCTTACCAATTTTGCTTCATCTTTACAACTAGATGAAGAAAAACATAGACAGATTTTTACATATTCACTTGTATATAACAAAATAGTTCCTCTAAAAATCAAAATAACCTTATTTTCCTGAAATACTTGGAGCAGCTTATACAAAAGATTTTTGCTCATCTATTGTGCTACTGAATTATCATGGTGAAAGATGTTTAGTAGTTAGCTAACTGCCAGAAAATGAGCAGAGGTAGGAAAATCCCTGTGGCTACAGTAACAGCTTTCTTTGCCTTTCCTACCAGTGACTGCTATAGTGAACTCCGGCCTGGAGAGCTTTGGGGTTTTTTTGTTTGTTTGTTTTGTTTTTCTTTTCATTTAATCATGTTAGGTAGATTCTCTCTGCTTCCTTTAGTACATTAATTTTCATTTATTCCAACATTTGGAATACTAACAAACTACATCCTATATATTTTTAAAATACAATTTGTATTCTTCTGTACCCCTCTTTCATTGCCTTGGAATAATTTATTTTTATGATATATGATATTAAGACAGTAAGACTTACTTGATGTAGCAGGAGGTGTTGTTGTAGTAGGTGGAACTGTGGTTGTGGGTAACTTTTTTGGTCTGAATTTATAATGGCCTATAAAACCATCAGCAGTTAAACTTAAATCTGACAAAAACTGAATGAGCAACTCATTTTTCTCAGATAGAATAGGCCTGGAACAGAAAAATAAAATATTTCTGTTGACTTTGACATTCAAAACAAAAGATATTAATATCAAAGCATAGAGATAGCTTCACCTTTAGTCTTAATGCATTATTTGCCCCTAGACTAATACCGCAATGCATGTTTGCAAGTGTACAGACACTAGCAGTGGCATTGGCAATGCTGTATGTGAATATTCTCCTGAGGAACTTGATCAGCATGGCAGTAAACATAATAGCATTCATGTGAGGGCAGGCAGAGATGCCATCTTTGGCGGCTGGATAATCTATTTGTATCAGTGGTGCTATTTGCAGTGGGGAAATGCATCAAAACCAAATACAGCTCAGCCATGTTCCTGTGCTGCCATGTCAGACACTGGTGTTCTGACTGTGAAACTCTGTTGAATCCTATAAACCCTGATTCCTGAAAGGTTATGTCACTATAAATATCTCTTTAATATTTCTTTGTGACTTCTGCAGAACTGTGGAATGGAAAGAGCTACTTAATGGGAAAATATCTTAAAAGAAATCCCTAATATGTAAAAGGTCTTTTAAACTTTTGTTACCTGAAAACATACCACATATTTGGAAGGTCTGGAGAAAATGAATTCAGTGTTCGATTCTGCAATTCTTTGACAAGAATAGTCACACAAAAAAAAACGGGGGGGATTTGGGGGTTGTTGCTATTTTTGAGGGTCCAGCTCAAGTTTTGTCAACTGAAGACAACAGGATATTTGTTACTAAGCCTTTAAAGAGCTAATGGTTATTTTGTTAAAATTTGAAATGCTGTAAAAAACTGTTCAGCGTATTAGTTCTCAGTTCATAAACTTTGTAGTACCTGGTATGACTTTAAGTGCCCTCTGGATACAGATGAAGTGCAAAGAATTCATACACGATGGTTTTATTGTTAGAAAAAATCTGTGGTATGCAAGTCTAGCAAACCAACACTACCTTGTTTTGAGTGTTTCACAGACCTTGTCTCAACATTCACCAACATCCATTCATCAATACGTCTTTTCCAAACAAAAGAGCAGTTTTGGGGAAGAGGAGGAGAGAGAAATAGAAGGAAAAGAATCATGGTAAGTAGAGGAGAGAAGATAAAGTGTAGTAGAAAAATGCATTTTCTTAAAATGACCCTCCTTCCCTTCTTGGAAATCCTGACAGAATTACTGAGCCTTGAACACATGTTCTTCAAGCACTTAATTGGACCTTTAAAATAAAACCTGTGATTACCTTCCATTTTTTTTGACTGGGTATTTCAGGAACCAATTTACTGTCATGATTATGAGTCCAACATAACCAAACGTAAATACATGATTATATGGAATTTTGTGCATTTACAGATGTTTCTCTAGTCACACAGATTATGCTATTTATGCTGCTCTTGGTTGCTGCTTGGGGACAACCAGTCCTTTTTTTTTTTCTTTTTTTACTCTGCCCTGGCCATCTAGAACCTGTCAGCCAAGACTCAAGCCCAGCACATTTCAGCAAGTGCTTACACAGCAAGGCTGGGTCTCAGCTGGAAAGAGGCAAATCCCATGCAGTTAAAGGCATCGGCCTCATTTGTAAAAGTTTTTATTAGCAGTTGCCTTCTGAGACCCAAAGGGAAGACAAGATCTTGTGCAGTTGTCCTCTTCCAAAGCTATTCAGCTCTAGTGGCTGGATGGGAGAGGAACAATGGGAAAGCAGAACCAAAAATAACCTGCTTCACCAAAAAAAAAAATTTTTGAATAATGCCTAATCTACTCTATAATCTACTACTGCCAGATCTGTTTATATAATTACAGTGCCACAGGCTGTCTCATTCCTGATTGAGTGCATTTAAGTAGAGAAGGCTTTTCATCAGAGTTGTAGAATTGGATGTTTCAAGTCTACAGTTGCATTTTTTCTGTAATGGAAGGCAGTGGCTGGGCAGAAAAGGTTTGTTTGTTTGTTTTTTTCTTGAAGAGATAATATCTTTTTTTTTCCAGTCCTTGATGTAAAGATAAATGACACTTCTACTCAGAATTAAGTAATACTGCTTGCTCATATCACAAATATATGATAGTTGGGAGTATGTGGCAAATTTATTTTTTGTTCAGACACAGATGATAATCTGTAGACATTGCTGTGATGGACTATTAAGGGAGTAGAAGATTGTGGTTAAACTGTGATCTAGTCACTATAATCAACTAATAGTACAGGGGGGGGAAATGGTATAGATTTTTTTTTAATGGCAACTCATTCATTAGGAAGTATTAAAACTCAATTACTAAATTAGTAGGGGCAGAAATACCTTCTGTCTCACTGCCTTGTTCTCGGGTTCATCCTAGGTAGTGGGGTTGTGCCACGAGTGTCCAGACGCTCTGTTGTTCGCTCCCACCCCGGCAGCAGGGGGTAGCGACGCTGCCGCGAGCCCGCGGCGCTCCCCAGCGCGCTCGGAAAGCAGCCCACGGGGGACAGGGCGGCCCACGTGGAAGGGATGGTGAGCGGCGGTGCAGGGAGCAGGCAGGGAACCAGCACCAGGAAGGTAGCTGAGGGGGAAACGGTGTCAAAGACGGTAAAGAATGAAGAGGCTAGAGAATGTGATCGGGTCCTTGTACTGTGGCATCTATATCACCTATTAGATCAACTATAGCAAGCAATGCTTGCGACTGCAGCATTAACACTAGTATTATTAAACTGTGCTGTCATGAGGCTTGAGGCACAAGATGGAAAAGAGCGTTGGTTGGAGCCAAGGCTAGTTAAGAAGGGAGGGAGAAAGGAAGGAAAACTTAAGGAGAAACAAGATGGTAAACAATTCCTAGACACTCAGTTGGAGGTAGAAAATGTCATATTTCGGAAGGGGCAAAAAAAAAGTTTTCAAAAGCCTAGTACAAAACTGTTAGCAAAATGACACACAGTTACTGCAGATTTCATAATCGAAGAAAGTTACTTACGCGGGTGGACTGTCTCCACAGTATTTACCAATTCTTTTAGCATCATTGATTTCTCCACCATTAAACACTGCGACATAGTCATATCTGCAGTAGTTGTCTCTTTCCACATCAAACTTCTCAAACTTTAACTCTATTAGCTGCAGGAAAAGCACAAGTGTCTCATCAAGGCTTCGATATGTACTTGTGCTGCGTGCATTGTAACCTTGTAAGTGGTAATTAAGAATTAGTACAACCCTGCTATTTCTAGTGCTAATGTTCTTTTTCTCTCCTGTGACTTGCATTTATAGGCATTTCTACTCATGAAAGAAAAGCAATGGACAGGGAAACATAAATGGACTTTACTACTCTGAAAGGAAGACCTGCAATATGATTCTATCAGTGTGTATAGCAAGGAAGGAAATCCCTTTATGACCCAATGCACAACTGAAACAGATAATATATACATTGAGGTTCTTTCTTTTACACAGAGCACAACAGTACAAAAGATCACCCTCCTATAAACAGTACAAGTGAGACCTGAATGACAACACTGAGTTATGTTGACTGTGGATGTGTAGGATTTTTCCTTAAATGCTTGTCTCAAGCAAAGATGCTATTAAATCTTTTAGGACTGTGTGAAGAAAGACAAGTTTACACATCACTGACACATTATGGTATAGTCTGACTTTGTTCTACCTGACTTTGTTCTACCTCCAAAACAAAGGAGAACTCAACACCTGATGTGTTAGTTTTGCCTGGAAGTACTTGTGTGCTACTCAAATGGGTGCATAATGCATCATTTTGTTTCTGATTAAGCATGAGCAATTTGGGGCGGGAGGAAGAGGAAAGTTACAGAACAGGGACTTGATTTCAGCGATGAGTACCTACCTTGTTTTAAAAACCTGTCATCATGATTAAAAGATGCAATATAAATGGAAGTAGTCATCTAAATAATAGGCTTGCTAACAAAAAAGATAATATAAGAAAGTAATGTAACTGGGAGCAGAAATGTGGAATATTCCATATGCAGGATAAGCAACAGAACATCATATCTATTTTTCTGTTGTTTATTAATGGACTTTGCACTAAAAAAAAATGACTCTTATGGCAGAATAGACTAATCTCAGCATGAATAGTACCTCCTCCATTTTCTGAAATAAAAGTAATTATTAATTTATATTTGGAAAAAAGGGTTTTTTGTTCTATTGCTCATATAAAGGAAGAGGAGACCTTTGCCCAAGTCTGGCACGATAAGAGTGAAGAGCTTTTCATGTGAATGTGGAGATGCTTGTTCACTACTTTGTCAGAACTTGCTATTGCCACTCTCAGAACTCTGCCTCATTTTTATGCAAACAACCGCTATTGTAGTATATGAAGAATATAAGTATTTGGACACAACTTACGCAACAAGATCTTTCAAAGCACAGAATAATGCCTTTATTTTTTTTTTATTTATTTATTTTTTTTTTGCTTATATAGCCTTGTCTTAAATCTTCTCTACAAGCCTGGGAAAAGTATTTGGGCTCATCTAGAGCTATTTGGAAAGAATCAAATTAAGCTGCAGTTAACAGGTAGGCTATTTTATAAGCCTTTTTTATATATATTTTTTAATTGCTGTCTATCTATAAAATTGTTAAATGGCCTGTATTTAGCTAGCAAGTAATGTGGATTAAAGATAAATACAGGAAAGACTAAAGTGACATATAGCTTCAGTTCAAGGAAGAAAATAGCTTGGTATATGGAAAAACATTGAGGAGCTGAAGTATATATGTTTATCTGGAAAAGCTATTTTATTTGAAAGATTATTGTCATGAGCAGAAGATTAAGCACTGAAATGTAGAGAAATTTAAAAAGTTTAACATGCTGAAGAAAACCAAACTACGTAACCTGCTTGAGGACGTAGAAAATCATTCCTTACTGGTATTCCAACTTTAAATTTCAGCCATATAATATTTTTGTGTTTTCAGTGCAATACAATCACGAGGCACTAGCAGGCCATTGATAATAAATAGTTTCTTGCAGATAATGACTCTTTTTGGAACACACTACGAAACACAACAAAGGCACAAAAAAGCTAGAAAATTACCTGATTCTTTGGGGCTATAATGTGCCAGGAGCATGTGACTCCTGCTGGATAATCTCGATCCGGCCAGTTGGGCGTTTGAAAGGACCCAGAAGGTTTCTCTAGTCGTCCCCCACAGTACTGATCACCTGAAAATAAAAATACACTATGCAGCCCAAAATACAGACGGAATGCTGAGGCCGTATCTTCCCCTACTGACCATCCGTCTCAACAAAGTGTTTTGTACGCAGGCTGTCTGCCTTGGAATTTATCCCCAGACTCCAGTTGCCCCAGTCTGCTTGAATACGAAGGACTTTATATATTTCCTGCACACTCTTGAAAAACCCCCGCTTAAGACAAAACAGCTTGATTGCTTTTGCTTCATCTTGGAAAAGAAATGTAATGATTGCTAATTAAGCCAACATAGCTCAAAAAATGTTTACTAATTACTACTGTGGAAGGTCCAGATAGTGGGATTTTTTTTTAACCTGTTAAGTTTTTCTTAAACAACTATCATTATTTACATTTAATAATTAACTTAGTCCAAGACTGCAAGATGTTCCTAGTTTTCAGTTTCTGTGAGTAAATGGAGCACAGAAGAAAGGTTTGTGGCTTGTGGAAGGAACTGCTCTTCTTGGAAAGCAAGAAGTCATCTGGAAACAAATTCCAGCAATTTTTTTAATGTCAGCCCAGGCTACATATGTCCTTTTCCTAGTCCCAAATTACAAATCTACATCACATATATAATCCTTGTTTATAATATGACTGTAAAACCTCTTTATTATGGTAACTTTATCAGCTCGCAGTCGTCTAATACGTCTTTCAAAAAGTTATCAAATCACTGATATAAGTGGAAAGACTAATAAATTATTTAACGTCTGGACCTGTCTAGTCCGGTATCATGCTCATAGCGAAAACACTGGAAAAAGTGAATTAGCAGGGAAAGAACCTAGTGATATGACCCTGCCACCATCTCCCAGGCTGTAGAAGTTCATGGATTTTGGGAATGAAAGCTGATGCCTTTGTGCTTGATAATCCCTAATAGATGTTTCTTTCATACGTTTTTCTAATTATTTTTAAACCAATGTAGAAATTCACAATCTATGATGTTCCATAGCACAGCACTCCCCAGCTTAACAGGCTCACTGAGGAAAAACCACCATCTAATTTCCTTTGCAGCCATGTTCTCCTCTGGTTTCTTTACTAGAAGAGACAGTGACTGTCAGCTCTCCATTCATTTTCTTGTGATTGTGGAGTCTTCTCCTATATATTTCTTGATTTTTCTCTTTTTCCAGCATGAAGAAGTCCATCTGTTCTTTAGCCAGATGTACCTTAATTTTCTTTCTATTTGTTGTCTCTGGTTGCTTTTGCTGGTTTTATTATTTCCTGTTTTGAGATGGGAGACCAGAATGACACCCCATTTCAAGATGTAGATGCATTATGGATTTACAGTGGCACAATAATCTTTCTTTTTTTTGGTGTTTATTCCTTTTTTTTTTTTTTTTTAAAGGCAAGCTAAGCAAGCTTCCATTGGCATTTTAACTTCTAATGAGCACTGGATTGATGTTTTTATTAACTATTGTTTTCCTAAACTATTTTAATCCTTAGATCTTATTCCTAATTGGTAATAGTGAATTCAGAGCCTGCTGTAGTGGATGCGAAGTTAGGGTGTTTTTCTCCCTGTTTGCAATATTCATCCACATGGAATTCCATCTGCCATTTTATTGATTAGTTATTACCATACTGCTACTAGTTGGGATCCTTCTGCAACTCTTACAGCAAGCAGTTAGCTTTCCTCTTTACAACTTTGATTAACTGCATATTATCAGCAAATGCTTTTCCTTTGCTATTCTAGATAATTAATGAATATTTTGAGGAGCACAATTTCCAATACCTCTGTATCGCAAAATCTATTCATGTAGCTCTCCACAGAGCTGTGCAGTTATGTTTATCTTCTGTACCTATGTAATTGTCTGATACCTCTTTCATGGGGTTCTGCTGCAGAAAACTTGGCAATGAATCCACTTCCAGCAGTATTAGCATCTGAAGTCATCTGCACCAGCATTTTGTTGCTGTTGGATACAAGGGCGCCCGGCTTCACGGTGCCGCAGAACCTGCCGATGCGCTGCCCGTTGGCGTGCCCGTTGTACACGTCCACAAAATCGTATCGGCACAAGTTGTCACTTTCCAGGTCCAGGTACCTAAAAGACAGAACCACCACCTTGCCTTCTGGGACCTGCAGAGGGAGACAGAGAGTGAGACGTATGTTAAAGCGTGACTGTCACCACGCATCTATCTGACCCAGCTACTTGTGCGTGTATTTTCCTGTCCTTCACCTCTTGTCAGTTAAGTTCTGTTTGCAACTGTACTCCAGGCAGAGTGTTTTTTGAAATCATATCGAGCCAATCATAAAAATAAGCTCTGGCCCATTCTGCTGCCAGTATCTTCTTCCGCGGTGCCCTCTGTGCAGACTGACACAGTTGGTGAGTACGCGCTCGCGTCCCAGCTGAGCTTGGCACTCTCCTCCAGCACATACTGCCCTGGCAGCACCCGCTCAGCCACACAGCTCCCTGTCACAGTGCGAGCTCCGCAGAGCCAAATTAGTTGGATTTGCCTAAGCAATTTTGAATTTAGACCAAGAAATTGCCCCTCTTATCTTGCTCAGTTGTGTCATGTGGTAACACCATTTGAAGGATTTATTTACTGACACACAGTGAACACTTATAAATAACACCGAAAGCTTCATGGCTAGTGTTCAACTTAGAATTCAGCTATTGGAGAGAGGGCACTTAGCTTGAAAGTGCAGTGAAACAGTAATATTTGAAAGAATATCTAAAACTATAAATAGTGATTCATTTATTAAATACTAGTTTGAGATGAACTAGAACTAAACAGTTCCCATATGTAACTGTCAAACAGTATTTGAATTTTGTGACTTAGTAATTTAAAATGCTGTGTCACCTCTACAGCATCCTAAAGCTTGGTCTTGTACCCTGCAGAAGAGGATGGTATAGGCAGCCTGCAGCAGGACAGACTTTGACATGGGCTGCTCAGGTCCTTTATTTCATGCACTGCCCTTTATCTTGCTATGCAGAACATACTTTCAAAAGGCTCCCCTTCGTCCTTGTTCGGATTTCTCTCTAAAATGCAACTGCCTCTCCTGTGCTGATGTGTCCTGTTCAAACCACAAAAATCCTCTCTTCTCACCCAGAAATTCCAAAGCACAGTGACTGCTTTAGAAATTCTAAAGCTAGAAGTTAGAGGTAGCTCTCGTGATATTGCAGTGAGAAGGCCCTGTAGCTGGTATAAAAAATTAACCCAATGGTCTGTTTAGGCAGGGTAAGATGCCACAGACACGTGCACGTACCCTTTGTGAAAGCAATGCGATTCCGTGAATCACTGCTCCATAACTAAGTCTCTTATTGCAGTCACTTGTCTTTTGGTCTGAATCACTAACAGACATTAAGGCATGGCTATTTTAACAGAAAAGGAGTTAAGAGAAAAGTGGTATTCATGTCAGAATGAATGACCTGACAAACACTATGTGACCTGACAGATTAAAATTCCAAAATGATGGCTGTAATGTTAGTCACAAAAAAGCCACAGTTAGTTTTTTTTTTTTTTTTTTTTCCAAAAAAGGAAAAAGCCTCTAAAAAAAAAAAAAAAAAAAAAAAAAAAGCTCTTTTGAGTCAAGTCACTTATTTGTACATTTGAACAACACCTAGTACAACAGTATCTAAATGAGGACACCTTAATAGGTTATCATGCTTTAATGATTTAATATCAGCAGAGCAGTTATGCCCAAAGTTTAGATTATCCAACATCATCCATTGCAAAGAATGTTTTCAGCATCCTGCAGCCTTTCTGCAATTTACCCATCTGAAACAGTTCTCCCTTTTCCATCTACTGTTTTTGAAAGTTCAGCCAAAAAAGAATGCTCTATCACAATAAATTAAATATGAAATCATAGAATCATTATGGTTGGAAAAGACCTTTAAGGTTGAGTCCAACCATAAACACTTCAACACCATGCCTACCAAACCATCTCCCTAAGCATATAAGCAGTTCTGTCTCTGTTAGTGCTTATGATATTTCCTCTATTTTTTCAGGTTCAGCTGCTGCTTTGAAGACACTTGGTCCCTCATGGGGGCTGGAGAAGGAGGCTGCAGTATGAGAGCGGCTGCTTCTGGGGTGAGAAGCAGCTTTTGGCTGTCCCTGTGAACATGACTCCAGTCCAGCCACATTGGTGTCCCTCATGGAGGCCCATGGTGCTCAGTGATACCTTATCCTGCTCCCCAAGGCAGCACGGATCTGCCCTGGCTTTGGGACACTCAGTCCTGCTTCAGGCTGCCACAAGCAGCCGGGAACTCAGTGTGAGACTGGCCCACGCTCTATCGTGTCCAGAGGGAGCGATGGCAAATCAGCGACTCCAAATTGCCAGGCAATTGTTAAAGATTCAGCTTTCCCATTTCTTGGTAAGTGAAATCCTAGGCAGAGCTGTATGCTTCCTTTTCCTCTCCTCAGCACGTTATACTATATTACATTATTTAACTATCTTTTATATCTCTTTTTAATCTCTAGCTTCAGATTAGTTGGTCAAGACTGTTCTCTATAAATATCCTTAGTTTTCCTTCATGGCATTTTGTGAGGAAACACTGAGAAAAAAGTTTGCTGTGTGTTCATGGATGTTGAGTGAAGAGCTTCCTCCCGACCTCAGTCAGCAGCATCCAACGTGCCCAGACACACATGAGGCGGCGGCGGAAGTCGCATGCGAACATGCAGACCATGTCCCACAGTCACAGGTACATCTTACTGTCACTGTTTTCTTAAAAGATGTCATTATTTAGTAAATAATATATGTAATTCCTCACCAAAAGAGTAGAAGTGCTCCACCTTATTAAATCAATTAAAAGCTTGCAGTCCCGCGGGGTCACACGCAAGCGCCGGCAGCAGAGGTGACCACTCTGTCAGGGGGTGCCCTGGTTTGCAGCTGCTCCCAGGGATCCCATCCCACGAGCACGCGCCTCTGGCAAATGCACCTCGCTTCCACCATGGTCATTCCTTTTTTTTTTTTTTTTTTTTTTTTAATCTGGAAAACTGATGTGTTAGAAGCTTCCAGGGTTTATCTGCAAACATTTAAAACATTGTTCCATGAGAAGCACAGGGGAGAAAGCAAAGGCCGGCATGACTCAGTTTTGTTTACCCTGGGCCGTATCCGAGCCTGATGCAGTAAGGAGATGTGATACCTCAGAGGAGGAATTGGAAGAAGTTGTAGCTCTGTTCTGAAGAAATGAAAAGAGGAGGGAGTCAAAGGAAGAATATGCGATGCCTCCCCTGCAGGGTGTGCCTTATTTTCCTGTTCTATCCCTGCAGCTGGCATCCTGCACAGAAGGAGCCTTCTTAGCTTCTGCCCCTCCTGGCCACTCCAGGAGTGACTGACCAGCGCTTGTACTTTGTTGCCCTGTTCCTTCTTGCTTTGGCTCTATCTGCTTGATGCTGAGCGTCTGTGAAAGATATCACTTCTTTTCAAGAATTTGTATTATTTCCATTGGCAGCTAAAGAGAAATAGAGTCCACAAATATTTTGGAGAGTTGTTCTTGAATGTAATTCCCTAAAATATCCATTTAGATTATTATCTTTTTAGAAAGGCCATGCTTTAACTCATGACAAAATAAGGTTCTGATATATTTTTCTGTTATCATTCATAGCAGATGTTTTATGTAATATTAATCACAATGTAGTTATGTTTGAAGTACTGAAGTGTTGCTTAGAGTCTGACTCAAAATGAAGGTCCCCTTTCAGATTCTGGAGAGGATTCCCAAGTGGTCACATTTTTCCAAACTGTTTGAGTGTTTGCTTGGAAAAGAGTATTTTGATGGGGAAAGCCCCTGAAACACATTTTTTTGTTTTGTTTCATTTTTTGAGAGAGAGAGAAAAAAGGCTATTTTTTAAACCTATATTCTAAATTTTTAATACTAAAATGCTGATTCTATTTTTTTCCCATAACAGTCCTAGGTAGACTTGAGAAATATACCACCTACCTGCAAGCTGAACATATTTATTCTCTCTACTGAGAATAAATGTGAAAGATATTTGGAGTTATACCCTGGGAAGAAACACAGTTCCTGCCTCTCCTCTTGTCCCCTAGCTCCATCCTCTCCAGCCATAAAAGAACCATTTTTTAAATTCATACCAGCTTGCTTTCCCTGGTGAAGGCACCAGCTCATGTTCAGCTTTTCTGTCCTTGCAGCTGTGGGTAAAGAATTGTGCTTTACTGGAAGGGCAGTTTCACAACTATGTGGGGAAATGAATGCTTAAAATTTTGAAAAAATTATTTAAAATATTTCACTCCCCCAGGGCAGATTCCCAACTCCACTGACAATTTTTAAACCCTGCTTATTGTCAGCAAACCTGCCGGAATGCAGCTCTTGAACCTACAAAAAAAAAATAACCTTACATAACTCTGACAGTCTTCAGGATTATTTTTGCACATAAAGTATGTTAGACTTTTATGAGAACTACACAGTTTGCCAGGAAAACACTCTGCAGTAATCCAGCTTCTTGGACTATTTGACACATTTATGTGAGGTGGTGACCAAGAAGGATTATAGAGTATTAAAAGTAAATGTATGTGATATATTTTAGATAAAGCTATATACATTACTATAGGAAAGGAAATAGCTGTACAAATGACTTCTTAGGAAAGCCAACTTAAAGCTTCTGGGTTGTCTGCCAAGGTTGTAATATAACCACAAGCATGTGCTGAACACTTCTTAGAGCTCTCAGAATAGAGGAGCTGTTTTCTTTAGCCAGCTGAAAAAGTCCCAGTCTCTTGAAATAACAGAACCATAATTGAGTTAGAGAGACTCTTCTAGCTGGAGCAAACCAATTGGGAAGGTTTCAGCTGATACTCGAGTGCTGCTTTGCTTTATCTGTACTACCCATAATGTTTTCTAAAGACATTTTTATTTCAAAGAACTATTTTGCAGTCACTCTGCCTCAATATGAATTTCTCCTGTAGATAACAAGATACTCTAATTTAAAAAACAACAGCTTCATGCTTCTTATGGGCCAAAAAGAAAATGAATCAACATCTCTTGCAGCCTTGTAAACCTGTCAGACCATGTGTTAGGCTGAGCATATTAAGCAACACCCCTTGCCTAAAATTGACAGGCAGGAAATCTCAGTCACCTTCTAAGATCTGATGCTGAATGTGGATGCCAAACATAAGGCATATTTTTTCATGGCACCTAACTCTGTTTCTTACTTTAAGGCTACTGCGAGCAATACTGATCCCTATCTCAGTATCTGATCACAGGGTTTTGTTGCTCAAATTGAGGCTAGTGAGCACACATGAGCTTCAAACCACAGGTTGAGACTTGCAAGGTTTGATAGTCCTGCCCTGCTTCCCCAAATCCTTCCTGCACATCAAAAAGACATAGGACTTCTCCACAACCTTGGGGAAGAAAACATCGGCTTACCCTAGTGACCAGGAGTGTAGACTGGGGGCTGAATGAGGCGGGGGCACAAGAAGCCCTGCACTGTCACCGAGCATGCAGCCCTCCCCTGGCTTTGGGCACCCTAGGGGGAATGGATCCATCAGCCTTAAGGCCAGGAGTAAAGAGCAGGAAAGCAGGAGTGAGGGTGACCATGGAATGCCCGAAGGCCTTGAGTTTCTGCATTGGCCACAGATGCAGGCACAGCTGCTGCGGCTCTGTGGGAAGGCTTCCCACAGCGATGCCAGGCTAAGTGGGATGCTTGCATCTCGTTGCTGACCGCAGCATTAGCTCTGCAATGAAAATGCTGGCTCTATGGCCACTCTATGGCTGCTTAAACACAGCCAGTTGTCCTCTTCCTGCTCCCCTCCAAATACAAGGCGGAGGGCAGACCAGTAGGATGTTTCCGTGCATGCTTCCATCTATAACCAGTTTTTGTAATGGTAAAAACTTTATACTATTATAACCAAAATGATTATTTCTTTCCAGATTCAGTTTTGAGCTTCTGAAGATCTAATGCCAGTTTGAGCCAGTAAACTAACTTTGTTGTTTTTCTTTTGGTTTAAGGCACACTCATATTATTCCAAATGGAAGTGGTGTCTGCTCTTCAGACTGCCAGATGAGCCAGCAGTAGCTGCTGCCACCTCAGCCTCTTCATGCTCTGAGGTAAGCAAAGCACATGCTTCGTTTTGTGTTGTGCTCTCCTGGTAAAGTCACTCACAGGCAGCCTCTAATCTGCCCTCATGGTAACACAACATAAAGGCACAGAAAGAAACTGTTGCAGCTTCCCTGGCATCTGTCAAACAACCCAAGTGACATCTCATTTGGCATGAGAGTCACTGTAACACAGCGCTGCAAACAGATCAATGTCCCCCAGTTGTGCTGCTGATCTCTACCCTGTGACATCTTCTTCTACTGCCACCACCTATTCTGTGCTGCAGTCTTTGAAATGACGGTTGCCTTTCATGATCACTGCTACATACAGACTAATTTATTTTCTACTTTCTTTCTTTGATGTTCTGTAAAGCCCATATTCTGGGACTGAAAGTCGCTCAATCTCCTATTGAATTGTGCCATTTTGGAAGATAATTTGGAGGCTGCTCTGTAAGATTTAACTTGTGCTGATGTGAGAACAAGTAAAATTAGTAATTAAACCCTTTCCCTGAGGCTGGAGATGACAATACTTCTGCCGCTGATGATGTTAGTCCTAGTTGTTTAATGGAGTGTCTGCTTGCTCACTCCTGCTGTTGGTGGCTACAACTCTCTGCTCTACAGACCCATTTCAGCATTGAAGTAGCATACAGTATATGTAAGGTCATTTATAGAAGTAGCGACACTTTCCTGTTGCTTTGTTACCTTGCTGCAGGACCTACACCAGGTGCACTGGCAAAGTAATACACACTATATTAATACACTCAAAGCATTTATTGAATTTCTCTTTTTGTTTGCACCCATCTGCTTTCCCATATAAAACCCAGGCATTAACAAGATGTAGCTCTTTATCGCCTCCAGTACTCATTTGTGATATTAAAAATTCTTACTGTGATTTTCCAGGTGCATTTGCTGTTCGGAGGGTAGACTCCAGGAAATCCTTCACTTCCAATAAACCCCGACTCTCCAGATACAACTCCTCCACATGCAAAGGAAGGTCTGGGAATAGCAGGAAAAAAAAAAGTGTTTAATTTTTAAATACATCACCTTTAGTCTTTGAGTGACAGCAAGGAGGCAGTGGCTCCTTGCTGCACTTAAAGTGCGGCTGATTGCAAACCAATGTCCCGTTACCGAGTTAATGCCAGTGCTGGTGCAAATCGTGCCGTTTAACGCACCGAGCTGCTGGCTCCAGGCTCACGCGGGCCGCC